AAATGTAACTCTTGTTTTAATTGGCTTGATCAAACAAACGCTGTCTAATAAAGGTAACTATGAACTGTCTACATTCAACAACCACTGATTATCCCACAAATTATTTATACCAAGGCTATATAACAATCTTTTAATATGTGTTGCCCAATTCATACATTTTGAACAATTTAACACAATTTCTTGATAACAAGAGTTTAATATACAATTGTCACTCACTAAAACAAGTATGCTCATACTGCAATGGATATCTACCTAATTCAAAGTAGACCGTCACATTTGATGTCGTTCTTTTGACACCTAATTGCAGGTTACAGTACTGTAGTCCAAATGAAATACATGAATATAATTTACCTTGTATAACCCAGGGGAAAGTGTACACAAGGAACCATGTGTTTATAATGTTCTATCGTTCAGGGATAAACGATGCACTATATGAAAAAAGAGGTTATTTTCTATCTTTAGTACATAAGTAACATCCTTATTTTATAACACAACAAAATGCAACCAAAAAGTAACATTCTAATTTAGATAAAATACATCAAAAGACACACTACAATCTTATACATTTTACCTTTACTTATAATTGACATTTAAATTTATGACATTTTAACATCTTGATTACATTATAATGTGACGGTCAGTGATTCTAATAGGTCACATGCACGACGTTGTTCATTCATTAATATTATATTTCTCTTGGGGGATGTATAATGTTCCAAATAGGAAAAGAATGCAAGTACAAAATTATTAGTAATTTATTAAAGCTATAAGGTTTATAATAAGTTTTATTTCAGCTGCATATTTTTCTTTTTGTGAAGATAGTGATTTTAAAAAAATCTGTTACGAAAGAGGACCTTTTAGAAGAAAATATATTCGGCAATTGTAAATTCAGTTCAAGGGTCATATCTTATATTATGCAAATTTTGCCTCCAGTGGAATAAAAAAAATAAAAGATATATGGGACTTAAATAATAAATCCTTTAAAACTTCTTTTGAAATTTTTAACAACCTAAAAGATAAAAGGAACTGGATAGCACAATATAGCCGCATTAAAGCTTCGTTAACGCCTCAACAAATTGACCTTTTAAAAACAGACCCCATCATGCAAAGTCATTCCGATAGACCTATGATAATAACAAATTCTTGTCAAATTTCAAAAAATGGAGTTGTCGTTGATGCTAAAAAATTGTGCCTTAAAGATATTAGATACTTTTATGAGAATAACATAACTCCAAATAGTCAGTTCAAGTGGAATTTACATTTTGGGAAAGAACTACCATGGGGCGATATTTGGGTCACTTTGAATAAGAATTTAGCAAATAGGAAAACTAAACAACTTCAATGGAAGCTACTTCATAATATAATTTACACAGAAGAAAAATTACAAAAAATGAATCTGTCAAACGGAAAGTGGCACTTTTGTAATGAAAAAGAAAATCACTGTTTCATCTTTTTATTTACTGAAAGACGTTTAGAGGGAAATTTGTTCAAAATTGAGTATCGAAAAATTACAACAATCGGAAACGAGTATCATTTTAGGTGTCATAAATGCAGATACTTATAGATTATCGTTTGTCATCTCAACGAGATTGATTTTCTCGCTTGAGCCGGTACGGCGAAAGTGAGAAAAAGCAATCGAGTTGAGATGACCAATGATAATCTGCTTATCGCTATTTTACCTATGACGACGTTGTTAATTTCATTGACAACGGCACGTGCGCCCTTAGTTTCTAGCGATAATTCTTCATATCACTCTACTGTGCTGAGAAAGGAAATTATCAGTCAGTAAGATCAAAGGAAAATTTCGTAAAATAGCGATAAATCATATTCTCAAATTTTAGATACGGTGCTTCTTATCACGAAATGGGTTATTTTGAAAACTAGAAACATCGCAAAATATCAAAAGAAAGGGATAAGTAAATCGATGATTTTCAATATGATAAAACATGAAATGCAATTTTTGTTCAAATCCCTTAAACCAAATACGAACAATGAAGCCTTTTCTACTATGTGCGACACTTTTTGTATATAAATATATATAATTTTGCGTGGTCAGGCCAGTGTACTGACCTCTTCAATACTGAATAAATTATCATGCATTACTCTCAACTCCCTTTATATACTATGTATTTTCTATTGTGTATGTAAATTATTTATAATTATGTATATTATATACTTGTAACAAGGACAGGTTGTATCAACAGGTACATATTATAAGCAAATATTTACTTACCATATCTTTGAAATAAATCATTTTTGGGAAACAAAATCTTAAATCCAACTTTTTTGAAAGAACTACACATTAATCTTCCTTTAAGTTAATTTTTAACGAGTAGCACGTGGCAAAAGATCACTCGACCAGAAATTTAATGTAATAGAAATTAACATAACAAAAGAACGGAGTGAAGTGCTATAAAATTGAAACTGCCTAATAAATACAGGTAGCTCTTTTGAGAGAGAAAAAACCCGATAGAATGAATACATTATTCAAACGATTATATTTGGTGTGATATTAAAAATATATAGATAGATAATATTACATGTTATTTGTACAAAGATAGATGATATTTATAAAGATAATGATTTTAAGGTTTAATTGAACTTTTATACAATTATGCAATTTTTTTATAACAAACAAGAATGTGTCCATAGTACACGGATGCCCCACTCGCACTTTCATTTTCTATGTTCAGTGGACCGTGAAATTGGGGTCAAAAACTAATTTGGCATTAAAATTAGAAAGATCATATCATAGGGAACATGTGCACTAAGTTTCAAGTTGATTGGACTTCAACTTCATCAAAAACTACCTTGACCAAAACCTTTAACCTGAAAAACTTTAACCTGAAGCGGGACAGACGGACGGACGAACGGACGGACGAACGAACGGACGCACAGACCGAAAAACATAATGCCCCTAGGTGGGGCATAAAAAGTAACATTCGTAAGCAAAAAAGGTGTCAGAAGATAATTAAATTTCATACAGATTCCAAAAATAAATAGTTAATATGTCTTTTCTTTGATAAAAAAGGAGATGATCAACTGCTTTCGGTTTACAATAGTCACTTCCGGTGTCATCTGATAGCTTCATATAATTTTCACTGATTCCAAATATATATGGTTACCATGTATTTCCCTTTAAAATAATGGCTATAATTGAGTAGTATACAAAATACATCTTTCGGGGTCTAATGAAATTGCACTGATTCGAAAAATGTATGGATTCTATATACTTTTGCTTGAAATAAGGGAGATAATTGGTTACTTCCGGTGTATACAATGCCACTGCCGGTGTCATATGACAGCTTCCACTCTCTTAGTCTTATGATAGCTTTCATTACACCGATTCGAAATTTTTTAATTTCCATATACTTTTCCTTGCAACAAGGGAGATAATTTGCTATTTCCGATTAAGGAAATGTCACTTCCATTTCATATGATAGGTTTATTTTCACTGATTCTGAAAATTATGGTTTCATAAAATACGTACACACAAAACTACTTCCGGTTTAAACAAGGTCACTTTAGATTAATCCTTTTTAAGGTCATGTGTCGTCCAGCCTAATGCTAAAAACCTTTTTGGTTTTATCATGTTCCAATATGAAGTTATAGCAGACGTCAAAATCCAGAAGGTCAGATTAACTTTTACCTTGACTTCAATTTCAAGATCAAAGGTCATGGATCTCATACCTAAAGACCCGAGGTCCATAATATGTATGGTTAAGATATAAACGGAGAGAAAAAAAACTCTTATATAAAGTCACCAGGGCACTTCGACAAAATGTATTGGCGAAGTGCCATGTCACAACTTTTGCCTAAAACCTGATATAGACAACTTTCACAGTTTCTTAGGAATTGCAATAACAAACAGAGTTCAAAAGTTTGACCATTCACCTTGACCTCAATTTCCTGCTTATTGACCAAGAACCTCATATCAAAATGTCTTCCTGACTTATGTTTTTTGAAATTTCCTAAGATATCACTCATGTGAAACAAAAAAGGGAAACTACTTTTATAAATTGTAGCCGTTCCTCTTCGGTGCAGATCATCCTGAGGAAGTAACAAGCGTTTTGGAAAAAAAATTCAAGCGATTACTTTTGTAGAAAATGGTGGATTAAATCTGGTTTTATAGCTAGCTGAACCTCTCACTTGTATGACAGTCGCATGAAATTCCATTATATTGACAACAATGTGTGAACAAAACAAACAGACATAATAGGTAAAAATGTCAAAAATAAGGGTACAGCAGTCAACATTGTGTTATAATCTTATAAATAGGACATTCTTTTAAAAATATGACCTTTCAAATTATAGAGGTTAACCAGGATTGGGACACAAAAGGTAGAAAACAGAGATAGAGATTTGGGATGAATCAGCTACGTACTCTTGAACCCGATGGACTGAATGAGAGCAGAGATAGAGGTTTTAGATGCATCAGCTACGTACTCTTGAACCCGATGGACTGAATGAGAGCAGAGATAGAGATTGTGGATGCATCAGCTACGTACTCTTGAACCCGATGGACTGAATGAGAGAGATTAAATCCGTTTCATCATAAACCATAGGAATAAAACTTGAACTTCGTACACTTTAACTAACATAATATTCTGTTTTTAGCTGTTATGACATTCACCTGTTTCCTTGACCTTTTACCTATTGACCCCGAAATCGTAGGCTTCTCGCCCTTCAATTTATCTTTCATCTGTATGAGTTTTACTCCAATCAAGAGAAGGATACTAAAATAATCATGTGGAAAAAAAATTGTTTTTGGACACATTGATGAACGACGGACTGACGTGCAAAGCGTCTACAATTTGCTACAGAATTGTTTTTGAAACCAAAATAAAATGTGACAAAAAGCTGGAATTTATCGGTCTTACCGATTTTGTATTGAAAGAGTACACATGAAATACACATTGACACAACAGACTCAAAACAACAGAAATGTTGTGCAATAATTATTGTCATTAATATATGATTGTGTATATTTCGAAGATATAAAAGAGAATGCCAGTACTAGAACCCGTACCTTTACCAGAATATGACGGTGTCACTTATATATCACTGAGAGCTTTCAGAGAGAAAGGCCCAGAACAAACAATAAAGGATGTCAAAGACTTCCATTCAAGGGAAACGGATATTATCATTTGTACTTACCTTAAAGCAGGTATGAGTCATATACTTTTATTTATTGTAATAAAGATAAAATTGAACATACTAGTCCTTAATATAACAAAAAAGAGCATTTGTCACAATTGCTATCGATATAATCATTATTAATTGATCTATACATCACAAAAACAGCAACTAACCAATTAGAAATAACAAAAACATAATATGCAGTCTTCAAAAGTAGACCGAAGGTGTCCATACAATTAGTTACATTGAAAACTCTTAATCATGTCTGTTACATGCAGGTGTGAATAAATTTAATGCAATAATCCAATATTTGATTCAATTCTCATCTCTCAATAATAAATAATACAACTCTACATTCAGTGTAAAATACATAGATATAAAATAGAGAGCCAGTCTGTACCGCATTATAAGAGACTATAACATAAAACATTATAGAAAATTCGTCTATTATAAAACATGTTTATAAGGACATTATTTACAGTATAAAACATTTATATGAATAAATGAAACATAAGTATTTGTATAAGTTTTAAACGTTGCTTTAATGTACCTGTTTGTGGTCGTAGACTATGGTAGGGATATTTTCCACAGGATAATGCTTCAAAATTATCAACAACAAAAAATACCGAACTGCAAGGCAAGTCCATAAAAACTGACAAAATTAAACGCATTTGATAAACTTATAAAGCATACAGCAATGCCGGTTAATCTTATTCAGATTATTTCGATGAATTATATTGCAGGCGTTCATTGGCTTGATGAAATTATAGCAATGTTAGTAAACAGAACTACAACCCTTGCTTCTGGAACGAAAGGTCAAAGAACGCTGGAGGGAATACCGGAGTTATCTGTCTTAGATTCTCTTCCGTCACCCAGAATTTTAAACACTCATTTGTCGTTTAAGTATATCCCTACAAAACACGTGCAAAACAAGGGGAAAATTGTTCATATGATCCGAAATCCTAAGGATATATGTGTTTCTCTTTATCACCACGCTAAGAAAGACGTTGTGATGAATTACGATGTTCCATGGGATACATATTTTGAGAATTGGATGTCTGGAAAAGGTAGCAGTATTTTTGTGTCTGATAAAAGCAGTAACAATATTTTAAGTTATATAAACAGTCCTCTGGTAAAGCTAGTAACAAGTACCACAATTTATAGTTGAATTCCTGGTAAGAATAGCTTTATTTGATCATTCTGATGTTTTATATGTGACTGAAATCATTTAAAATACATGTGTACAAAATAGTGAGGGTTACCTTTTACCGTTGACTAAGAAATAGCAAAGCAACAAATAGACATCTGCAGTACACAAACAGTTTAAAAAATAAGAAATTGGTAGCTGGGCTTGGTAATAACTTTAGCAAAATACCTATATTTACCCTTACAAGACGAGTTCAACTAGGAATTGTGGTACTTGTTACTACCTTTACCAGAGGAACATTCATGGCTCTACAATCTGTCGATATATGTATCTAGGCATTGCACAAGGTCATGTTCTTCTCAGACTGTTTAAGACAGCTTTACCCTAAATCCATTGGATGTTGGATGTGTAATGATTGATATTTTAGTTTAAGATGCATGATTTTTTTGTTTGTTGTTATTGGCTGTCAGTAACTGCGAGTACTCTCAGATTTTTACGAAATATCTGTCTTGTTGTGGGGATGTAAAAATACCCTACCACGTCCAGTCTGTGTTTTTGATTGATGTTTTTTCTGAATGTATGGATCTGATGAGTTAAGCCCTTTTCAACCGATATGTATAGTTTGTTCTTATGTGGTACTGTTACATCACTATCCCAGGTTAGGGGGAGGGTTTGGCGCCAACTCGTTTAATCCTGTCACATTTTGTATGTGCTTGTCCCAAGTCAGGAGCCTGTAATTCAGTGATTGTCGTTTGTTGCTGTATATCATATTTATTTTTCGTTATTTACTTTGTACATAAATCAGGCCGTTAGTTTTCTCGTTTGAATTGTTTTTTTATTTGTCATTTTGGGGCCTTTTATAGCTGATTATGCAGTATTGGTTTTAAGTTGTAAACGTCTATGTCATCAGTTGGTCTCTGGTAGAAAGTTGCCTCATAGGCAATTATACCACATCTTGTTATTTTCATATATATTTAAGGAATGACTGTAATATTTTTTCTGTCTATAAAGAAATAACATCAAAAATGTGGTGCACACTGAATAACCCGCGTAGCGGTTTATTTTAAAGTGTGCACCACATTTTGTATGTTATTTCGAATAGACAGAAAAAATATTACAGTCATTTCTTATAATTTAATTCTTAATTCCATTTTAAACCGGAGTAAATCATGAAAAAACGTTGATGACGTCACGGTCACATGACAAAATTATGTCTATGAGCTGATATATAAAACAACGTCAGCCAATCAGAAGACGCGTTACATCCAAAATTAAATTATTCAAAAATATCATCAAAGATACAAAGCTTATACTTTTAGTTTGTCAGATGTACATTTCGTCTACATAAGACTCGTCGAAGGCGTTCGAATGAAAATACTTGAAAAGAAAAAAACTACAAAACTGAAGAGCATTCATTTGAAAACCAGTTATTCCAAAAGGTAGTGCCAAATATTTGTAAGGCAATCTGGGGATAGAAACAAAGATTGTTTTCATCATAGCAACCATAGAGGGATAGTTTTGGGATACTTAAATGATTACTTTCAGCATACAAAAAGTAAGAAGGTGCCAAGAGGTAATAAAGTCGAACAGAGTGACACATCATCATGTTCAAAAGAGAAAAACGAAATTCACAAAACACTACAGGAGTTATTCATATAAATTTCGAAAAACACAAACCCAAAAAAAAGTTTAAATTAACTAAGTAACTAATGAAACGGTAGGTGGTTCTTGTTCTACCAATGACACCTGTTGTGTTGCTAGTGAGAATTAAACATCCGGTGATAAGTCACCTTCGGTACCGAAACAAACGAGAAAGAGCTCATTAAAAGGGTGTAACGCAGACAGATTTTATTACTAGTAATCAATAAATAATAATGGTGTCCATAATTATAACCGATAAACTGCAGTCTCGACATGCATTAAAAGAAATTAAAAATCGATAAATTTTACATTATCCTTAGGAAAGGAAATGTAAAAAATAGTCTATCATCTTTTTAAACAAAAATATGCAGGTACAATGTATGCCACTCAATTTTAACAATTACCTGGAATAAAAATTCGAAAACGTGAGGCAATAAGTTGATAGGCAGAAAATATCTTTCTTTACAGAGAAGCGGCAGATACCAAATGGATATTCAAACTCATAAGTCGAAGACAAATCGACAACGCCATGGAAAAAAGCGAAAAACGGCGAAAAAAACAACAGTCTACCAAGTGAAAAGCAAACCGAGGAATGATGACAATTCACAAAACACATCACAAATAAACCTAAAGATAAGATTTAAGGCTGGAAGTGGGCTCATGTGATCTTGAAGGGTAATTAGTTCATGTGATGTTCCTTTACATATCCATATTCTACTTTAATGTGGAAGTGTATGAATACTTCTTTTGTTATTTTATTTGGGTGTACATATGCAAGCGTATACATTTGAATGATAATTTGAAACGCTTCATATTAAAATTGTGGGCACCCCAAGTCTTGCTCAATCCTAATAAATCACGGTAAATGATCCTTCAATTTAACTGTAATCCATTTTAATGCTATCAAGATCATGAAATCACGAGTTAAATTAAGCTTTCGTTTATTTTCTTAGGTATTGTTGTAACGCTGTAATGCAGAGCATGTGTAGGCCAACATTATTAAGGAAAGTGTCTTCTAACCAAAATACTGGAATTGTATTAAGCATTTAGTGTGTGATTTAATTGTTAACATATAAACATTTATTTAACTTCTAAAACATGTACATTATTTTATTTATATCTATTATAATTTATAAAGTATTTATTTAAAGCATGATGGCTTATAACCCTGTGTTTACAGGTATAACAATACATGCACTCATCTTTTGATTATTATTGTAGTATTCTATGGTTCCTGGTATGATTACGAATTGGGAATGGAGGAGGCTTCTATACAACACCCGGGAATGATTTATACCTGTTATTATGAAGACTTCAAAAGGGTTAGTTAACTTTCATATAAATAAAGGTCACAAAAATGTGCGGGCCAATATTTAAGTCCTGTGACTTATAAAATTTAAAATATTATAAATCTAATCTAATCCAATTGTTTTTATTTTATCTTAGAAACCAAATCCGAGATTTATTTAATGATAAAGATTTGTGAATAGCGATACGTCTATATCAGAGGTGTGTTTATTCAGTCTAGATTTTGCATACATAGAATGAATAAATTGTCTATGCATTTTAGGAACCTAGAAACCAAATAAGAAAACTTGCAGATTTTCTTGACATAAATGTTTCGGACCAAATATTAGAAAGCATAACAGAAGAAACTTCGTTTGAAAATATGAAGAGCAAAAAAACTGATAACACCAAGTTCGTCAACATGAAAGAAGCGGAAGGATTCATTTACAGGAAAGGTAATATTAGACTATTGTATGTCCCTAAGTTATGTTCTCAGTATACATAGAAATTCATAACAAAGCATTAACCTTCAATGACAGTCACTGTTCCATACCTAAAATAGGATATTGAAATTAAGTTAACCGATACATGTTAATTTTATTAAATATGTGTAACCGTATATTCGTAACTGTTTTCACGGTGATCTAAGCTTTCAAATTTTAATGGGATGATTCATGTTAACAGTGATCTAGAAATTTAAAGAATAATTGCAATAAAGATCACCAACACACTGTTTGTTCTTATTACTGTATATTGTCCTTTGGTTGAACAAATGTATCAGAAGAATAAACTGTTGATGGCTGATTGCCGAGCGTCGCAATAGCACAAAAAGGCTACGTCACCAGGAGTCACACTAATTTTCAGATGTACAAGTATCTCATTTTATTAATGATATTTAAAAAGAAAAAATCTTTGAGAGTGACATTTTAACTTTTGAATAACCTCGTTCTTTTTTCAAAAAATTATAATACAATTTGCAGGAGACATAGGAGACTGGAAAACTCATTTTACTGTTAACCAGAATAGCAGATTTGATACACAGTTCAAAGACAGAATGAAGGATAGTAAATACAATATAACATTTGAATAAAAAGTTTAATGTAGGGATGATGAACATGGAATTGAAAGACTTTTTATAAATACATGTATTGTATGCATATTGGTAAATATTATTTATTCTAAGTAGATTATCGTTAAGCACAAACATTGAGTCATTAACATTAAATTGAATATTTTCTCTTCTTTCTTCTTCAGATTAATATCATCCTTTATTTAAACATGTTAAAGATACTATGGGAATAAATGTATATATAGTGCTTGATCCTCGTTCCGTTCATTATCATAGTACACAAGCACGGAGTCTAAACACTAAATTAAATAAGCAATTTGACTTTGCAGTATAAGGAACATTTGATGCAAGACAAATAAGATGAATGTAAATAAAATAGAGTACCACAATAATAAATGCTTAGTAGACCCACGTTTACTATTTTTTTTATAAAATGCGACCCCTCTGCAATATATCGAAAGATCTAATGGATTTTTCAAAACATTATTTAATATATAATTTAAAAATTAAAGAAATTAGCAACATAATACACGAAAACATTTTACGATATTGCTGGATATAAAATGGAAGTTATCCAATTAGGCTACAATTTCATGTTTCACTGGCTCTTGACAGATTTATTGTAATGGAATAGAGCTAAGCTTCAATTGAAGGCTCTGAATTGCTGTTTGCAGTAATTTAATTTGAACTTAGCAATGAAAATGTCTAATTTATCGTCATTACGTGAATGTAAAAACTATCAGTGCTGAAATCAAATGCTAACTTAAGATTTTATAATTGACTTTCCTCTTCTCAAATAGATAATAGAAGAAAATAGATTTTGTTCTAAATTCAAGTGAAAAATGTCATTACACTGTTAAATGGAAGAAATCTGTACAAATAAAGCATTCTGATGGAACATTATTTTTGTTTACGAAGATTTAAACAAAGATACAACTGTTTGAAGGTTGTTATTGTATCCAAATGTGTATATATATAGAACTTCTTGTAGTTGTGGTTAGTTTGAGTTTTCAACGTTCGTTTCTGTTTAAAGTGACATTTTCAAAAAAAAGATAACGAGAGGAAGATGATACAAAGAGGACATTCAAAACTTATACTTCGATGAAAAACTGACAACGCCATGGTAAAAACTGAAAAACGATGAAAAGACGAACAAATCAACACACACTACATAAATGTCTTACAATAATAATAATAATAATAATAATAATAATAATAATAATAATAATAATAATGATAGTGATAATATCCGATGTCATCTGAAAAATAACTGCTGAACTGGTAAATTACACTCTCTAATATAGTCGAGAATGAATTGATTACGGTTAGAGAGTAACAGTTGACCTCATCAAACATTTACTGATTTTAAGATTTCTAAATGTCATTAACTCTTAACTTTAGATACCTTCTCAAACTGAATTGAATTTCTATTCAATTTAGTATTGGGATGTATGTGAAAAAGGTGCTAAAACACATTAAGACAAAGGCAAAGTCTTAGCAATGAATAAAAGCAAAATATATCACATCTTTAATAGAGTTTGTGTCATTGGAATGCACTCAATAAAACAATAACAGACATGTAAAAGAACTCAAAACATTATAAAAGAAAATAATTTCTAGCAATTGAATATTTCTTTACAGTGGACAATGTCTATAACTGATAATTTCTTGAAATCATTAATGAGCAACACGACGGGTGCCACATGTAGAACATCTGAGATCCCCCCCGGTTTTTGGTGGGGTTCGTGATGCTATGTTGTGTTTTGTATAGTATTGTTTGTCTTTTAGTCTTTTTCTTTTCTTTTTTTTTTGCCTTGGCGTTGTCGGATTATTTTCAACTTATGAGTTTGAATGGCAATTTGATATTTTTCGTCGCCCCTTTAGTATTTTCTGTGGTGTTTGGGTTGCTGAATCTTAAGTTTCTGTTATGTTTGAGTTGCTGAATCTTAAGTTTTCTATTGTGTTTGAGTTGCTGAATCTTTATTTTTTTTTGGTATTTGGGTTGCTGAGTTTTTAGTTTTCTATGGTGTTTGGGTTGCTAAATCTTTTTTTACTATGGTGTTTGGGTTGCTAAATCTTTATTTTTCTATGGTGTTTGGGTTGCTGAATTTTTATATTTCTATGGTGTTTTGGTTGCTGAATCTTTTTTTTTCTATGGTGTTTGGTTTGCCGAATCGTTAGTTTTTTGTTGTGTTTGAATTGCTGAACCCTTAGTTTTCTATGGTGTTTGAGTTGCTGAATCATTATTTTTCTTTGGAGTTTGAATTGCTGAATCTTTAGTTTTCTGTGATGTTTGAGTTGCTGAATCTTTAGTTTTCTATGGTGTTTAAATTGCAAAATATTTATTTTTCGATGGTATATAAGTTGCTGAATCCTTAGTTTTCTATAATGTTTTGGTTGCTGAATCTTTATTTTTCTGTTGTGTTTTGAGTTGCTGAATTTTATTTTTCTTTGGTGTTTGGGTTGCAGAATCTTTAGTTTTCTGTTATGTGTTTGGGTTGCTCTGTCTTTGGTTTTCTATGTTGTGTTCTGTATACCATTGTTTGTCTTTTGGGTTTTTTTTTCTTCTTTTTTTTGTTGCCATGGCGTTGTCGGATTATTATCTTTAGTTTATATGGTGTTTTGGTAGCTGAATCTTTATTATTTTTTAGTGTTTGGGTTGCAGAATCTTTAGTTTTCTGTTGTTTTTGGGTTGCTGAATCTTTAGTTTTCTAATGTGTTACGGTTGCTGAATCTTTAATTTTCTGCTGTGTTACGGTTGCTGAGTTTTCGTTTTCTGTTGCGCACACGTGAATCTGCTGGTGTTTTACACATCAAACGATGTACCGTCTGTTGACAGAAATATCAATGTACAAACTAATGTCTGTTGACGGATTCCATTTCGAAAGTACGTAGTTTTCATGTCGGTCATTGTCGGAATGTCCCCAATGATTGCCTTTATTGCCTTAATACGTTTCAAAGTTTTAGAAGTGATAAAAAACGAGATTTAACAATTGAATAGTCCAGCTCTTTACCGTTATTCGTCATTAAGGTACACACAAAAATGACACATTATCGAAGCTCGAGTACGGAACCAGTAATTCGTTGCTGTCAATAGTTTTATTTTCATGAAAAATTTCAGAAAAGGGCTGTGTGACTCCTGACGGAAAATGCCTTTCCTACCCTCCTACTTTTGTGTAAAAATATTAGTTGAAAAACAAATATGATATATGGGTCAAGCACTTTAAATGAACGGGATTGAAATGCTAAAAGAGTCAAGCGCACACGTGATTCTGTCAACTGACGGTGCATCGTTTGATGTGTAAAACACAAGCAGATTCCCGTGTGCGCTTGACTCTAACTTATCGCAATAACATAGCAAGGTCATCACCTGACATAACCGGTCAATCCTTGGCCTGACACATATCTGCATTGGATATATTTAGAATTTTTCAATATATGTTTGTTTATTTAAAACCCTAATTTAAGCAAACTTGACTAAAATCTTGGTGGCCAATTTTTTTTTAAAGTTAACTATCTCTATCTACCTTTGACAGAAAACTTTAAAGTGAAACCAAATCAATTACTGTTATAATTGCTTGGCGAAATTGCATTGCATCAAGTTGACCATGCTCAGACGAATTTATGGAATTTAGTTATAGAAAATTTAATTTGAATCAACAGTATTTGCAGATTTTTATGTTACGTATAGTGAGTTTTGGTTGAGTTATGAGTATTATTATTTTTGGAAGAATAAAATACGTCGAAAGCAATAATGGGACAAAGCATGCTGGGTTGTTGTGGGCTGCTTTTATGGTAATTCAAGTTACCTTTTATGTATCTTCTTCGACCTCAGAGCAATCAGCTCTTTAATTATTTTTTCGGTGTTTGGGCTGCGTTTGTAAACCCGGGTATCTTCTCCATTGATCACTAAATGTGAGTCAGCATTTATTGGTATTGATCTCATAAAATAATGTTAAGCAAACATCTACAATATAACTGGAAAATATTTGAATAAAGTTTCCTTCTTCCCTTTTGAAGGTAAAACAAAAATACAATATACATATCTTGGAAATGATCCCTTTTATTATTAGAAAAAAACCAATGTTATTGTCAAATACTTATATGATATCTACACATTTCCGTTACTATATATCTAGAACAAATCAGAAGTACCAAATTCCAGTTCGCACTTCAATCATATACGAGAGATCTTAACACTGTTGATAATATCCGATGTCATCTGAAAAAATAACTGCTGTATACTGGTAAATAACACTCTCTAATATAGTCAGATAAATTGATTACGGTTACAGATTAACAGTGCACCTTATCAAACATTTACTGATTTTAAGATTTCTAAATGTCATTAACTCTTAACTTTAGATACCTTCTCAAATAGAATTGAATTTCTTTTCAATTTAGTATTGGGATGTATATGATGGAATGGTGCTAAAAATACATTAAGACAAAGGCGAAATCTTAGCAATGAATTAGGGAAAGTAAAATATAATACATCTTTAATATAGTTTGTGTCATACGAATACACTCAACAAAAACAGACATGTAAAAGAACTCTAAACATTAAAATAGAAAATAATTTCTACGAATTGAATATTTCTTAACACTGGACAATGTTTATAACTTATAGTTTTTTTAAATCTTTCCAGTCCACAGTTGTATGGTTTAATAATTAGCATTCTAGTAGCTTAAAGATTCAATAAGGATATAATGTCATGCATTACTGTATGTTATTAGATATATCTAACGTCTGATCATGGTCAAGTTTTATATCTTTAATGATGGTTGTAGAAGTTTGATTGGAATGAAGCTTTTAACAGTTCAACGAAATACTCTGAAAGGAGATATATATATACAATACCACTTACGATAAAGTTTTTATGACATGGATAAAATCAGAATTACATTCTGAAAATCTCTCCCCAAAGAAGAATATAATATTTGTACTGAAAATAGACGTGATTCCCTTTTATACGACAAAGTGCGTAATATAAACAGCTGGAAGTTCAAGCTCATTGGAAAAATGTGTTATTTTGCATAAGTACCTCTTCTTTTCTATGTTTGATAACATAATAACTATGACAAAGGGAAACGATCAAAACAATGCCTATTGCAGCACATGTTTCTGTTTACAAGACAAAACAATGCCTATTGCAGCACAGGTGTCTGTTTA